CAACGAATGCGCTCAGCCAGTTACCGTATCGTTGAGACATCTGGAGGTTTGTGGACAATTGTGGTTCTAAAACTTTCCTAGGATCTTCCAGAATGTTGAGTGTTTTCCGAAATTTGATGAACAGATCCATCGGGACCTTAAATCTTTACTTATCTTTGCTAACAAGCCCCTCCAGAGGTTTTGACCAATTTCATTACAAAGCATGTATATTCAGTGAACATTAATTTCCGTGTATATATATATATATATATATATATATGTACATGTGTGTGTGTGTGTGTGTGTGTATACACGAAACTCATACTTACTGGGCGTACGGCTATTGTACTCATGTGTTTGCTTCGGACACGGCAATGCTAACAGAATGTTCAGTTTTACAACCTAGGTTGACCACTTGATGATAGCTAGTCGCCGATGTGACCATCAGGTCCTCCCCAGCCTTAATACAAGCGGTGCGGAAATGTCGATACACATTCTATAACAGGTCTAGCAAAGTGACCGGCAATGCAACGTGGTGATTCAGTGCTGCAAGATGTCTCGACCAGCACCGTGGCATAGCAACTACGCGTTTTCCATGTCACTGCTTTCTGATTTGCAAAAACTTACTTCCCAGTATTGGCGTCGTTACATATCACTTTAGGGACGGTTGGGCGTCAGTGCGGCATCCAATAGAGATGTGATCGGTATCTGCGACGCGATCGGTGTCCACGGGACACCGATACTGTGGGAGCCACTGGTACACCGATACTGTGGGAGCCACTGGTACACCGATACTGTGGGAGCCACTGGTACACCGATACTGTGGGAGCCACTGGTACATGCTAGCACTGCGTTGTGTTCACTTCCCGCAAAATGGTCACTCCTTACTGGAATAACCCATGCACCTTGAGCCTGCGCGTTCTTGTGTCACTGCTATGCATTTCTCCACTACGGAACTATGCGGAACTAAAGGTTTCACATGGATTTCAGTGTTAGACAAACTCAATTTTTGACTGTCATCAAGCTGATTTATTCACAAATTCGTGTGCGTAAGTGCGTTCGTATTGTTGATTATTTCTGTTATTGTTAAATGCGTTCGCATTAGAGTATGTGGTATAATTCACCACCCAGGGAGTCCCACTGAACCCACAAAGGCTGTGCTCTGCACGTAGCCGAAATCAGCATTCTCTCGCCTGTAAAAAGCGGAAAATATTGCCTCAAAATGGTTCTGCTGCGCCACAAAATAAGAGATGGGTTAAAAGTGTCCGGTTGCAACAGTGAAACTGTGGTTTCGCCACTTTTTCGTAATATAATAATTTTGCATTGGTCTATGATCATATTATATGGTAGATCACAAACCTTTAGTTCCATTTTTGGTCATCACAGGTAACACCTTCTCATTTCCCTTTACTAGGTATCTGCGTTGGGCTATATCGGTGTATGGGCTGACCTCATTAATGTCTTGTCTCGGTAAGGTGTATCCACGTTAGAATAAACGCGCACGAACACCTCGGGTATGTGTATTGCCCGTATGTGCCGTTGGCCACCTGCGCAAATATTTGCGCATACGAATGAAGCGTAAGCTGTGGACCCGCCGCTTTTGGGCAGTTTTCAGGACATCAGTTAGCAAGTACCCTTAAAAACAAGTGTGTTTCCATCATTGGAGGCGTTTGCTCACTGCCCGAGAGAGCGAGTGTGATGTCAAGCCAAAGCGGAGCGTCTGTTTGCCAAGACGAGTGTGTGGTGCGGCACCATGCATCATGGTGATGCTGTGGCAGCTGCGCATGCACTAACAATCACTGGCGACAGACCGCGCAATCGTCGCCGTATAACTGGCCGTATTCGCACGCGGCAGATGACTCGCGCTCTGCCACCAGCCATCGGTTTGGCGGCTGTGACCTGCAGCAAAGATTGATGTCATATTTCAGTAGATCAGTCAGATACGGTGTTGACATTGGCCCATGCATATTGTAGTAGTTCAAGCTGTCTGCCAATCGTGTATCAAGCTTAACGCCGCTCTTCCCATGATAGATGCTCCCAAAGGAAAACATCGATCATGAAGATGGCAGAAAGTTTCATCTCGAAGGCATTGTGTGGGCGCCTCTGGAGGCAATGCATCAAAGATCGGCTTTGAGCGAGGGAAGGTGTCCAATTATGTGCACCGTGTCAAACGGGAAGGAGCTCCCGATGCCCTGGATATCCACCCTCCCGGTGTCTAGGATGTCCTTCCCGTTTACCTCAGTGGTAAAACGTTGGACTGGTGATAAAAAACGGTTCGAATCCAAACAACTTCGAGAACTAATGCAGGATATGGCGCGTACACGGCTGAAAGTTCAACACCACCGAGTCCTCCTTCGGACTCAGATACATCTGGTGACAGCTCCCGGTCGAAACGCTGTGTACATAGTAACACGCCAGACGAGAACGATAGCAGGGACGGTTGTTCCAGTCATTGCACAATCAGATGTGTCTTATTCATATTTACTTCATAGAATGCGACATGAATCATTGGTGAGCTGCGAACGATGCTCTCTCTGTTGTCTGAAATAGGAAACTGCCGAATCTTATTTTTCCCTGACAAGGATCTGCATATTAGCGGAATACGGAACCGGTGTTGCACCACTTAAAAACAGCTAGATCGATGAAACAAACTGAGTTCAGGTGCGGTCCCAGTAATGTGCCTTGGCGGATCCCGAGTTCGTTCTGAAGATTTTGAGAGAGCGGAATTTGGCCGCTGGAGGGCCTCATTTGAATCTGTCAACTGTGGCCTTGCAGTAGCATTGGCACAAGCTTTTGGATCTGATCTCAACGCCATGGCGATCCAACTCTGAGATCAAAAGCCGATGATCTGCTATATGAAAAGACAGTTGAATGAATCAGTTCATGCAGGCGTTGTTATGTCCTTCAAGTCCGTCCCAGCAGTATCCTCAGCAGTATCTTGTTAGCTTAAGTAAAAGCTGCCTCAACGGAAAAATCGCCAGGGGCCGTGCAGGCCATTAGAGAACAAATCGCCAGGGGCCGTGCAGGTCATTAGAAAACAAAGCGCCAGGGGCCGTGCAGGCCATTAGAGAATAAATCGCCAGGGGTCGTGCAGGTCGTTAGAGAACAAATTGCCCGGGGTCGTGCAGACCATTAGAGAACAAATTGTTTACGTTTATGTAAGCAGTCGACCGTCGACGAACTGTGCATTCAATGACATGGCAGTCGCAAAAACTGTGGGAATAGACCAGAACCTGGTCGAGTCATTAAGGTAACTGGTTTTTGGGTAATACCGTAATGGCGGCACTTCCATTCTCTCAGCACAACTGCGGTGCTCAGGCTATCGTTGACGTCCAGGAATAGGTGGCAAATACCGCACAAAAATGGAGACGCATGACACTAATTTCGTCGGATGGCTAATAAAGCCCGTCTGTGGAGCTCTGCACCCGCCGCGGGAGCAGTAAGCATGGAACAACCCTGCGCTGTATAACCAGTTCACGCATGGTGGCAGACGGGATCTGGTGCTGCGTCCGCGGCCGGATGTCAGCCCATATGACCTCGAGGTTACACAACGCAGCACCACTGCCGGGCACCGTTCTGATCGAAGCACTGATAGCGTCACGATCGAGGATGGCCGCGCCACCATAACCCGGCAGTAGGCCGCTTTCAGCTGGCAGATCGTGCCGTGTTCAGCTGGTAGGTGTTCACTTACATTAGTCGCGTGACGAGGGCTGGTCTCAGCCCCACATCTCACTCCCGGCAAGTATGTCATACGAATAGACCGCGGCCAAATTCCGGCGCGGATCTGGAAGCTTGGGCTTCGGATCACGTGCAGTGAACGACGCGCATAACACTATCGCCGCCGCATTGGCCCTGGTTTTCGACTTCCCTGAAATCTGTGCTTTCATTCATTTACCACCAAGGAGTACATTAAATTGATGCTATGGTAGCGTGAAGGAATTAAATACCCCTTGGTAGCTTTGTGCCTTTTCGCGCATCGCGAACACGGATATTCTATTTGTTCTAATCGCGTCGTGTTTGGTGTTTGCATGCAACAACTGGAAGTCCCCGTTGTGCGGGGATATTTTTAGTGGTAGCCCAGTTGTCTTGCGGCAGGATTCCACTCTCGTTATGTCAAATAACCCGTTGCCCATGGCCTTGCGCCCACGAAGCAGCTGACATACATACATTATTTGTCAGCGGAGTTAAGTCCATAACGTTAAACCAACACCAAATTATGTGGCCACGAACAACGCTTGTATGGAGTCATTGAGTTATGGTGGTGCTATAAACAATGCACGTTGGTGCTACCCTATCTCTTGGTTCTGCCCTATCATTTGATGTATGAGTTCGGTATTTGGTCATTTTCAATGTCAGTGATACACCAGGTGTCTCACGCCACTTAGTGATGCACCAAGGGCCTCACGTCACTTAGTGGCGCTGCCAGTGGTACACCAGGAGTCTTATGTCACTTATTGGTACATCAGGCGCATCACGTCACTCAGTGGCGCTGTCGGTGATATACCAGAGTGTCATGAAACCTGGGTGTCGCACATCACTCAATGGCGTTACATTGCGACAAAGCAGTAACACTTGTGCTAATTGAAGTTGGCATCAGCTCAAGCGTCAAGAAATGAAAGTGTCGCATAAAAGTGCGACTTTTTCGGTCTCGCAATATTCTTACCCTTCAGCGGTCTAGATCGTTATATAGTTTATTGTTAAATGATCAACAGGCTGCGCTCAATAGCAGGTGAAATCAGATTTAGGATTGATAATTACTGAACATATCAAGAAAGGTTAGCCCACTACCCGTGGGTCTCACAGGAAAAGAGAATGCATCTAAACGATGTTGTTGCGTGGAGAAATTCGATAAAATAAATTGTTACAGCAATTTGCCTGTTGGAGAACCTTATCCCCACATCGGTGTGTAATGTGCATGCTACTGTGTCCTACCAAGAGGTCTGAGTTCCTGTTCCAGCGCATGACCCCGAGGTTGCTGTGTTTCGCCGAGCCTCACCCTGAGGTCGGCGTGTCTGTTGCAGTGCCGCCCCCGCCACGGGAGGTGATGGTGACGCCGCACGTGAAGGCCGAGGTGGGGCAGACCGAGCAGACCTCCATTATGGTGACGCTGCGACCGCCCTGCCCGTATCCTGGCCTTCACGGCTACCGGCTGCAGTTTGAGCGAGTCGACTTCCTCTCCAGCTACCGCTCTACCACTCGCTCCGGCAACCTCAGCCGGGATGACATTGAGCAGCTGTATTCAGGCGAGTGCTCGGTAGCGCTCTCCGCAGGCACGCGGAGGCAGTCCGCACCCGCACCTGTGCGCCAGGAGCCGCATACGGCCGCCTGGACAGGTTAGAAGTAGATACGCTTACGCTGGTGAGATCCAGGGTAATAGGCATCGGGCAGAAGAGAGTTCAGTTTTAAAATATGCGTTAGAAAATAGAAATACACTTAGTATGCAACGTGGGATGCATTTCAAATTTAAAGTCAACATTTGGCAGCCGGTACTTGGGGGTACTGTGGCGCAGGTTCTACCATAGTGAATGCGATTACAATTTTAACTTATATTGTGCCTAGAGTCAAGATAAGCTTATTGTTGCAAAGCTGCAATTATTTTAATTGTTGCAAGCTCACTAAGTCATATATTTTATTGTACTGGCAGCAGGCATTGGCTGATAGCAAACAATTTATCATATCCATAGGGAACTAGTAGAGAAAAATCCAGATAGTTACGGGTTCCAACACATAGCCTTTTGAATATGAGTCGGCACGCCACCAGGGGCAGATCCAGAGGGGAGGGGGGAGGCACGGGGCCGTGCTTCACCCTTGGGCCCCAAAGGGGCCCATAGGGTCCGACGGGGTCCGAAACTGGCCGAACCGACGCAGTTTTTAAACATAAACGCAACAAAATTAGATGTTCCTGGGCTTCCAGGCCACCAAGAAGGTCACAAGCGAATGTTAAAGACCCACGAAAAGACAACAATAACTCCTCACTGATTAAAAGGGCAGTGATTGGGAGATTTTAAGGCTTCTTACGCTGTTCAGAGACCCCACGCTGTTCCCGGGCAACAAAAATGTTCGCTTGAACAATAAATTCGATCGTTATGGAGCCTTTTACGTTGTCCTTGATTTATTTGCATTTGCTCAGAGGGCTCTGCGATGTTGCTCGGACCCTTGCTGCTAGCGTGCCGGGTCCTCTGAACAGACAGGGGCTTTCCACGGATTCTTCCCACTCGTCGCAAAGGCTGTATACGCTGTAGCTGGGGCCCCATACGTTAAGCTCCTGTGGTTTTCTCGGTTGCTCACGGCCCCCTCGCGTTGTCTCAGCTAACGTACCGACACTCTCGCGGTGCGCTCATGAGCCCTTTTCAGTGCTCTAGGGCCCTTCCAATTCACTGTTACTGGCTTAGGGGATTAAGCTCTCGTCGGGAGACCTATCCGTAAAGCTGGTTCGGCGCACCCGATCCTTCGCGGATCCCCCACATTGTGTCGTGGGTATTTCTTACTTAAATGGAGGGCCCCACGCTGTTGTCACGGCCCGATCTGTTAACCTGCCCGGACACACTCGATCTTTTGGCCCCTCCACACTTGGTCTTGGGTACTTCTTATTTGAATTGAGGGCCCTGCGCTCTTGTCGATGCCATATGATTGCCAGGTCAGGTACCCTCGATCTTTCGTGGGCCCTCCACACTGGGTTTTGCGTACTTCTTATTTGGATGGAGGGTCCTACACTCTTGCCGGGACTCCTTTCGATAACCTGCTCGGACACATTGAACCGATTGGGAGCCCTCTGCAACGATTTTTAGGTACTTTCCATTTGAATGGAGGGACTTGCGCTCTTTTCGGGGGTCCTATCGGTAAACCACTCAATCCTTCGCGGGCCCGCTGCATTGTGTCGTGGATATTTTTTACTTGAATAGAGGACCCTACACTCTTGCCGGGGGTCTATCTGTAAACCTGCTCGGGCATACTGGATTGTTCGGGGTCTTCCACTCTAGGTCTTGATATTGGAATGTTGGGCCCTACACTCCTGTCGGGGGCTCAGCTAATAACCTGCTCCGGCACACTCCACCTTTCAGGGGCCCTCCACACTGGGTGCTTGGTGTTTCTTATTTGCATGGAGAGTTCTTCGCTTGTGTTGCAGCCCTTCTGAGGATCATCACGCTGTCTAGAGGCGTTACACCGATGCCGAGACCCTATATGTCTACTTATCGCTCAATCTAATCTCTAAGGAGCCTTCCACATTGCCTTGATTTTTTAAAATTTTCTTGCAGTACCTTACGCTGCTGTCGGAGTGCTATCTGCTAACATGCCTGGGCACTCTTGATCGATCAGGGGGCTCCACGGATTTTTCCCGTTCACCCGAAAGGTCCTGTATGTCGGGTCCCACGTGCTGGGATACACTCAGCTGCTCAGGGACCCCTCATATTGGTCTCGAATTCTTTTCGCTTGCTCGGAGGACCTTGTACCCCTGCTGGGGCTCTTATAAGGTAGGGCACCGAGACACTCGAACCTCGGGGGACCTTGTACCCCTGCTGGGGCTCTTATAAGGTAGGGCACCGAGACACTCGAACCTCGGGGGACCTTGTACCCCTGCTGGGGCTCTTATAAGGTAGGGCACCGAGACACTCGAACCTCGGGGGGCCTCTACATTTGATCGAGGGATTTTTCCCCGTTTCTTTCATTTGCAGAGGATCCTCTACTTCTATCGGGGCCCTTTACGTTAACCGCTCAGGGCACTCTTGATCGTACAGAGGCGTTCATTCATGCACACTGGTCTTGAGTAATTTCCCTTTGCTCAGAGAGCCCTGTGCTCTGGCTGGAGTACTTTATGTCAGCCTGCCAGGGCACTCCTGACCGCTTAGAGGGCAACCACGTTAGCCTCGGTGCCTTAGCCCTACAGCAGCAGTTGGATATGCGCCGATGAGTTTTTATTTACAATGGTTGAACACAGTAAACAAACTAAGCAAAAGCCCTGTATTAATCATCAGTCATTAGATGACCACATCGGCAGCTTGCTAGCGGTAAATAAACTAGGAATCAAGTTTGTGCTTGATTTTGGTGGCATTTAGCAACCAACTTGTTTAATTTTGCAATCTTTCCCCGAAAAACTTAACCTTAAGTGATAGGATTTACCACGACCTGAAGAAAGAGAGCAAACTCTATGCATGTGCGTACGTGGCACACCTAGGTTTCTATAGCTGCACACAGTAAGATGGGTTCCCGTTTAAGGGAAAAAGCATACTGAGAAACTTAACGGGCTGCAATGCCATGATTTTTGCAGGGGGCACAATATGACGTGCCCTCCCCCTCCCCCTCCTGACGAAATCCTGGATCCGCCCCTGTACGGTACCGATTGAGTTACTGAGGCCACTGATTCCGCGAATGCCGGAAAATTCACGGCGTTCCGTGCGCAACAACTTTTTGCCAGGTACGTCGTGAAGGTTTGGCTTTTCTAGATAAAAAAGGCCATGCGCTGGCTGAAGGCAATTCAGCGGTATTTCGTCTCGTACCGGGTTCATCAAAATTGGCCAGATGAAAATCAGTTCACAGCTCTGCGAAAAGCAGGTGTTTGACACTCGAGCCGCATACACTGGAAGGAAAAGCACGCCCTAGCGCGATTGTGTTACCACCACGCTTCGCTGGGGACTGGGTGAGATCCAGGTGCGGGAGTCGGCCAGAAAGACTCACACATGACTGCAATAGACCCGTGGCAGCGGAATCGTTGGATTCTGTCGGGGCTCTCCAGGGTGGGTTGGGAAAATGTAAGAAAATGAAATCTGTCAATACAGATGAGGGGGGAGGGGAGGGGGGGTTGCAGTCATTCGGGCTATCGGGACGGCCCACAGGCTGTACAGGATAAGAAGACGTTTACCACCGTGTGGGTAGTGGATGTAGGAGCCCGCACCGGACTGTCTGACCAACAGCACCCCTCGCGCACGAGCCTCATGCAGTCCTGCGGTTCCCAGGCAATGTTTGGCCTAGGTTGGCCTAGGCCATGCTCTGGCCACTCCCCAGACCCATGAAGAGAGCTATGAGGTCTCGCACATCGCCACGTCAGCCGATCTTCAGCCGCGCCGGCCAGCGGGCTCAGCTACGTGGCGCGTCGATTGCTTTCCCGGGACGTCTGCAGTCGCACCACTGGGCAGCAGATTGATTGCTTTCCCGGGACGTCTGCAGTTGCACCACTGGGCGGCAGATTGATTGCTTTCCCGGGACGTCTGCAGTTGCACCACTGGGTGGCAGATTGATTGCTTTCCCGGGACGTCTGCAGTCGCACCACTGGGCAGCAGATTGATTGCTTTCCCGGGACGTCTGCAGTCGCACCACTGGGCGGCAGATTGATTGCTTTCCCAGGACGTCTGCAGTCGCACCACTGGGCAGTAGATTGATTGCTTTCCTGGGACGTCTGCAGTCGCACCACTGGGCAGCAGATTGACTGGTTGATTGATGTTTAGGGCCAGGCGTCCGCCGCCGCTCCGGCTTACACGTATAGCCGTCCCGGGCCGGCGGCGGACGCCCGGCCTGGCAACGCCATCTTATGACCCGTCTGCTGGCCGTCCCGGACCGGTGGCGGACGCCACCCAGTGGCCCGTCTGCTGGCCGCGTCCGCTGCAAGCTATTGGGTGAATCGTTTGGCCTGAAAAAGAAATGCTTGGAAAATTTGTGCTATCTGCTACACAGTGAAGTCTTGTTAGCCGCTACCTCTGAGATGGTGAGTTGCTCGTTGTGGGTGAGCTGTTTGGAATTATACGATCTGTTTTACGTAGCCATGAAATTCTGATTTCATGATAGCGAGGACAGTTCAATGCAAGTGTCTAGGGCCTTCATATGGATAGCCACATAAACAAGAGGGACTAGGTGTAGCTAAATTTTGAATTTCGAACATGTGAGCATTAAGATCTGACATTCCCAATCTCAGCCTGGTATTTAGAATGTTACCATACCTGGATCCAAAGCTGTCGTACGCTGGAGACTAGCGACACCGTAGCGCTGGTATATTTCCCGCCGGAATGGGCGAGAGATGACGGTAGAGGTGACACCTTAAGTGGGAGTTTGTTTCATCTTCTCATAGTTGATGGAATGCAGGAGGTTTGGTATGTTGGGGTTCTGCTTGGTGGTAATGTAAGCGTCATTGCATTGTGTAATGGACGTTCTGTTGCAAATGCTCGTGTGTCAGGTAAAAGTGCGGTGACGTTTGTTGGCAGTTGATGTTGGTTGTGGATGAGTGTGGAACAGCGTCAGTTTGTGTATGTTTCTT